TCCATCCATCCATCCATCCATCCATCCATCCATCCATCCATCCATCCATCCCATTTGTATCCTACTACAACTGATTTTACTCTCAATGATTTACACAATATAAAACAAATTTAAAACATCCATAATAAGTTTAAAAAAAAGAAACAAATTTCTAACAATGAAATAATGAGAAAACCAAACCAAACCAAACCAAAACATGACGCAGTCAGATTAAAATGTTCTACAGAATAGTTCTAACGTTTCCCTGAATGAACTCCTGGCTTCAGTTCCCTTATGTCCTGATGAGCACTAATAGTTTTCTCTAGAAGATCTAATAGATCAGGCTGATTCAGACTAGATGAGGCAGTCTGTAGTACCTGGTGTCAGGCCTTAGAGGGCTTGGTAGATCAAAACTAGCACTTTAAATTGCACCCAAAAACTAATTGGCAGCCATTGCTTGGCTTGCAGTAGACATGCAACATGTTCCCAGTGACACAGACCACTGCTTTCTGGACTAATTGCAGTTCCTGAATGGTTTTTAAAAGCAGCCCTGTGTAAAATGCATTGCAGTAATCCAACTGGGTGGTACTGACAGAATGAGTTACTATAGCAAGGTCCTCCTGTACCAGGAAAATTCAAAACTGGTGCACCAGCTGAAGCTGGGTATGGTTTCCATCTGCTGTGCCAACAGGAGCTGTAAGACCAGAAGGATCTCCAGGTCATAGACCTACTTCCTCAGTGGTAGTACTGCCTGTCCAAAGACAACATTGGACAAGGCAGTACTACCTGCCTTGATGGTAGTTTTGTCCATCAAGGCTCTTGATATAGAGCCTTGATGGACAAAAAATACCTCCATCTTGCAGGATTCATTCAGCCTGTTCTGTCCTATCCAGACCTTAACAGCCTCTGGGCACTGGAATAGGCATCAATTTATCCTGGAGTGGTAATGTTGGAAGATCTCACCACTGGCTTAGTAGAGATGTTAAACAATAATGGAGAGCGGATCAACCCTTGTGGGACCCTCTGATGTAGGGGCCACCAGGATGACCTCTCTTCCCCCACCACAACTGCCTGAGATTGCCCAGTGAAGAAAAAACAAACGGTGCTTCCAGTGCACAACTTGATAAGGTTGTCCAGCAAGATACCATGGCTGAGAGTATCAAAAGTCACTGAGATATCTGAAAGGACCAGGAGAGTCACACTGTCCACATCCAGGTCTTGACAGAAGTCATCCCTGAGATTCTGGCAAATCTGAGCAACTATATCAGCAAAATGCTGCGCAAATCGGTCACAGCAACCAAGTGAAACATCTTGCTGTCAACTCTTTCTTAATAGGGAATTAATCGCCCTCAAAAAGGCTACTAGGCAACAGCCCCATGACCCAATAAGAGAGGAAAAGTAAAAGTGATTCACTTCTCTCATCACCACACATGAACATATACTCGTGTTTAATCAGAATAACTTCTCATCTTTCTCCACTAGCACTCTAGGCATCATTTCTGCCACTTTATTTCCCCGAAGTTCTCAGTAAACTAAAGAGTCTACTGAGATCAGCCAGCAGGGAGAGGCTGCTCACGGGCAATCTTGTCCAGCACTTGGCTTGCCTCTAGTTGCCAGTGGCTTACTAAGCACCAGGCACTGCTTTAGGTGGGTGTACCTTGGCCTCACACAGGCTCAGCACACTGACCGACAGATGGCCAATGCTTGCACATTTCAGCATTTGGAATGGAATAATTAAGTCAGATTACTCCGGGCCCCTGTTACGTTTTCCTAACAACCACAGAAGGATAAATGCTAACAGAAATAATAAAGTGCATTTCATTTTACAAAGTACTTATTCTTTACGAGATAATTAGATGTAATTGCATTAGGAGAGCAACAGAAACATCACTTTTTAATCTTTCTGTTTCCTCCAGGTATTTTGGACTCCATCATTCCAATCTTCACATCATTGACCGGGGTAATGGAAACTTGCTTTGAGGGCAAAGGTGGGAAGGCTACTGTAAACCAATGTATAGGCTCTACATACAATTCTCTGATATTTGAGGTACTCAAGATACAAATGAAATAGAGTTCACTAAATGGGATTTTTTTTTATTTCATGCCAAATGCACTGTAAAATTTGTATCACAATGACTTCTCCTCCAAATCACACTATAGTCAGGCATCATAACCACAATGATGCCAAAGAGGTGACACAAGCATTGTGTCCATGGCACAGCTCCACTGTTTCATACTTGCATCAGGATATCACACACGAGTATGTCACAGATGGAGTTTCCATTGTAATGTCACAAAGCACATTTCATCCTTTGCCCCCACGTAGATATCTATGGCTTTAATATTTATTCTTGTTTCAAAAAACCTTAAATAATATTTGTTTAAATTATTCCGTACCAAGCCATTAAAGCTTGAATTGCTCCATGAACAGGTTTATATTTTTCATTCTGATAAATGTATTTGCAAGACATTTGGATATTACCCAGTGAGCCTGGGTAACACATATCTTGATGAGGCTATGCAAAATATACTTGTGGATATCAAATGGCTAAATATACTGTCAGACTCATACTGTCCTACTTCAGACAAATTACTTATACAAAGCCCTAGGTCTTTCGAGAAGGCTGTAATGCTGGGAAAGGTGAAAGGAAAGAATAAAGAGGATGACCAGCAGCCAGGTGGATGGGCTCAATTACATTGGCAATGAGTGCACCATTGGAAAAGCTGAAGGACCAGGTTAGGGACAGATCATCACAGAGAAAAATCTATGTGAGCACTAAGAGGCAACAGCAACTTGATGGCACCTAATTAGTCAAAAATATACTGTCCTCAATGTTAAAATAGTTTTGAAACCTTTAATATGGTTAAGATTTGGAAGAAAAAGTTTCCCAAATGAGGAGTCAGATCTTGAGATGCAGAAACTAAGCTGTATTGCAGATTTTGCCAAATACCACCTTTACAAAGGAGATAAAGTTTCTATAATCAGATAAAACATTTTTAAAGTTTAAATCAATTCAATTGCTCAATTTACTTTTAAGCCAATATATACGTCTAATCACACATGGAACTCAACAATTTATCTATAATGTGATCATTTAAAAAAAAAAACTGTCATGCTGTTAACCATAATATTGGAGACAGACTGCTTAGGCAAAGCACTAATGAAATTCTTATCAGCTAGATAGATTGTACATCTGGCCTAAGCTCTGAAATAGAGGCAAACAGCCAAACTGCTTAGCTAAGTGACTTTTAAAAATTATTTCTTACCCATGATGTTCTGCAATTGAGCAAAATTTAGGGTTTAAAAAAACAACAACAAAAAAACAGAGGTTTAACCAAGCATAAGCTGGTTTGTATTAGTAAGGATGCCCCAAAGATTCAGCAGAATATCTTGCCTTATAAAATGATCCTCCACAGGTGTCACTTTCATCTGATCCACATAAATCACCTTCTCTGGCAGCGATCATGCCAGCAATGCAGCTATTCTCCTTTAAATACGAGACACAACACTGCTTCTGAGCAATTCTGCAACAAATAAAAAATATATTGCTTTCAATTCACAGGCTGCTACTGGCAACACTCTTATACAGTGAAGATGGAAAGCACAGGACACAAGCAGTACATGTTTAAAATATATATCAGATTTAAATGAATTTTAAAGCCGAAACACCAAGTTTTACAATTGTCAACTTATGCTCTTTTTAACCTTATTTTATATCATTTTGCTTAGCATAAACAACTTAGCAGGTAGTTTTGTTTCTCTGAACAAGAAGAATGGAGTATTACAACAGAAAGATGTATTTAAATGGTGCAGAGTGATGGTATATATGTGCCCGGACAATCACATTTGTGTCCTGCTTCAGGCATAAAAATGCAATGGTTAGCACTAAAAATGGAGAAGAAAGGAATCCTATACAAAACTACAACTGAGTTTTACAGATATACACCTCCCAAAGTTATAACCCAAATGTGTACTATTTAAATGTTATGATAAAGTTCATAGATACAAAAAAAAAAAGGGCAGAGAAAACTACACATCAAGGAATTCTATTTGGTTTGAATATGATTTTCTTCATTATAAGAAAAGTACATGTATGTGATTATTAAATTCAAGAGCGTGACTTGGAAAAATGTGTTCATTATGAAATTGTACACAAAAGGAAAAAACACAAAAAAGCATGCCATATTTTGGTTCAAATTTTTGATGCAGTTTTTGAACCTTTAGAACTACTGAAATTTCAAGTTCAAAATACTTTATGTATCACTATGCAAGACCAGATTTGCCTGCTCTGACTTGAGCTCAGTTTATCACAAATACCTATATTTTGCTATAAAGATCTTGCCTCCGTTTATTTCTCTCTGGTGCCATGCTTGTAAAAAGACTGGAAGTACGGAATCAAAAGGAAGAGATAAAGTTACATTTCTGAATTTCTTCTCAATTAATAAAACCAGTTTTATTATTTCTTCATATTTATAGTTAGCTAGGCCTAAATAATGTATTTCTACACAAGCCATACAGACCTGACACAGCACAATGTGTCCAGCATGCTACTTTCTAGGGCTGGGCAAATAATTCAAATGGACACTTTGCTCATAGCTATGTTGTCCCACTACATACTACAATGCTACATGTCCAGCAGAACACAAATATCTACATACCCACAGCTTCTGTACCTTCATCAACTTAAAACATGAGCCATGATTCATCCAAAGCTATGTATTGTCACATCAGCAAAGAGGCATCAGGTAATTGCTAAAATACTTTGGCTGGCACATTTTAGTTCTGAATTTATTTCAGTGTATCTGTTCCAAGAGTGCAGTGGCAAAGCCATTATAAGAGTCAGAACTGTGTATTTTGTGATAATAAAAAAAAAAAAAGGATTCTCCACACTTCAAAAATTTCCGAGTAAGGCTAGATTCATTTCCAGTCTGATTATAAGTCCAGAACTCCAGGTTCAGATGATGTATACCAACAGCTAGGTAACCAAGTAAAAATTGCAAGAGAATTCTGTCACTCAAGATATCCTTCTGAATAACCTCATTGGAATGGTCTTTGGAGGCACAACTTTGTAGTGGCTCTTGTTGGGGGAAAGGGATTCAGAAAGCAGAACTGAAAAATATCTATTTGATGCCATGCTTGCTGATCATCTTAACTTGGTGAGTGGTTCATCTTATCTCCCATGCCACTTAACATAAACATGGAATTGTTGATAAGATGAGTAGTTCATCTTATCATCCATGCCACCTAACATAAACATGGAATTGTTGATAAGATGAGTGGTTCATCTTATCTTCCATGCCACCTAACATAAACATGGAATTGTTGAAACCATTTTTTTTTCCGGGTCTGTTGCTTTAGTTCCACCCGTATGCAGATGATGCCCCAATCCCCCTCTCTTTTCCTTTCAAACCCAAGGACACTGTTCATCAAAACAAAATGGAGATCCAATAGTTGTGTTTATACTTCCAGTGAAGGACTTGGACTGAGACTGAAGCTTCAGTAAAGGACAAAACCACTGATTCCTGGAATTTGGCCTGTTGCAACATGATTTATATGATACCGGGCCATCTTTGGAAGCTAGAAATGTCAGCTACGCTGGAGTTTCAGCAGCTTTGCTGGCTATTATATGTTTCCAATCACAGTTCAAAGTGCTAATTATGCATATAAAACCTACATGACTTGAGAGAATGCTACAGGATCTGAGAAACAACCACACCTTCAAAACTCTGCCCCAGGAAAGAAGGGATGTTTGACCGAAATGTGAGAAGATGCTTTCTGGGTAGCTTATCTCAATTTACAGGAAGTTGGCCTAAACTTTATTAATTTTACAGTGTATATAACCTATTCCAATCCCAAAGGACTCTGAGCAGTGTACAACAGCAAAGAAAAATCAAATCAAGTTAAAATCAAAAAGTGTAATAATGAATAGGTCAATCCAGTCATGAAAAACAAAACAAAAACAAAAATAATCAGAAAAAGCCGAGATGAAACCCAATAAAACCCAAGGTAAGTGCCCACACTCAGCTGGGACCAAAAGCACATTGAAATAAAACAGCTTTAACCTTTTTCTGGAATTTCAGCAAAGTGGGAATGCACATGCTTCTGAGGGAAGAGTATTCCATAAGGTGGGGGCTGCCCAGAAAAGACCTATAATAAAATGCTTTGATTCAAGCATGCTTTTGACATGTAAGCTGGTCAAGCTGCTGAAGTGGGTGGATGTCACTTGTTTCTTTCACTTATGTGTTTTAATGGAGTTTTGATTATGTTTGAAATTATGCTTTAAATTTATCATTAGTTTAGTTTAAAATCTTTCTTTTCCTTATAATCACCTTGTAGATGGGTGGAGTAAAATTACAATGAACAATTAAACAAGCATGCTTGGAAGATAGATTGGGTAGCCTTGCTATGTACCTAAATTCTCAGACAAGACAGAGCACACAGAGAACTAGGTCTTCATTATTGTTGGTGGTGGTGATCACACAGTCAGCCAGATCTTTAGACTGGATTTGGCATTTGTATCCTCCTACCGAGTCCTTCCCAAGGATAGGCAGATGTTGTTTGATGGTGTTAAAGGTACAGTCAGGTCCAGAAATATTGGGACATCGACACAATTCTAACATCTTTGGCTCTATACACCACCACAATGGAT